AGAAGAAGAAGAAGCAGGTATACTGCGCCTCAGTAACAAGAAAGGTAAACAAGGCGGCAGGCGTGAGTGACTTTGCAAACTGTTTGGCACTGTGTGGCCAAACATCAGACGAATGGAGGATCATGCCTACTCTGTATCACAACGAAAAGCGGCGGACACCGAACCCCCGTCATCTAAGAAACGGAAACACGACGAGAATAAACGCAAGAGTGACAAGAAACGACAAAAAACACGGATCAACATTGGCACGGCATTTACACGATGGAAGTCACTGATGGAGGAAAAAGGTTTTCAAAGTGACGCTCAAGTTGCCAGTTTTCTCTTGGACAGGTAATTAATCCTACACACACAATTGTCTAATATCACTGCAGTTTTTGGAGTACAGGATGCTCAGACCTGTCTAAAACAATAACATGCTGCGTGATGATGCTGTTACTCTCCAGTATACTTATTCAGCAACGTCCCTGACGTTTCACAGGTAATGATTCAGTAATTTTCTGTAAAATAATTTTCTGGATATATACCTCGGTTACTTCTCTCCAGCTCCTTTGGAGATCTTCAAGCCTTTCCTCCTCTGCTCTCACCCCGCTGGCTCCCCTCTCTCGCCTGGCCCCAGCTGCACGCTCACCCCGGCCTCTCTGCCCTCTTCCTTTCCCTCTTCCTTGCCTTGTAACCCCCGTGCCACAAACAAGACTTGGACTCTGTAAACGGGGAATATATATTCTTCCAGCGAACACAATCTCGCTGTTAAACTAATGACTACAATTACTTCGTCTGTTTATATCACCATGCAAAGCAGCTCACCAAAACGTCACAACGACGTAGAAAAAATAACGGGTATATTTATTATCTTAAGTCTACATGAAATCTATACCCTAAACAGACTAATGAAATACTATCTGTAAAATTATCTATGTAAACAAACCTCATCACTTGAGAAGGTAGGTGATGCGGACGTCGTGGAAGACATTTTGTCCTGTAACGCTCGCCGTACTGTTGGGAGGGAGAAGCGGTGGGGGGGGAGACGTTCATGTTACTGCAGTCTGCAGTCTGACCGCTAGATGTCGCTGAAAATTACACACTGTAGCTTTAAATACAAAAATTTAAATCTTTGATTAAACAGCACATGTGGGCAGGCAGCAAAGAGAGCAAGCGTAGAGCAGGAGTCCCTGATTCAAACAGGTAAAGAGAACTTAGCCCAACCATGGTCACCGCTTATCAGATTCATCCATTTAAAGAAGACATTTTCAGTCCCCAGTTACATGTTTAAATACTCTTTAAAGAAGATGTTCAAGATCCAATATTAGATTTTTGGACTGAAGAGAGGCTAAGCTTGCTAGTTTTCGTTAGCTTGCGTTTTAGCTTGCTTAGCCCCATTTATCTGGTATTTTCAGTATGTTCTAAATAAAACCCAGTTACAGAAACATAGCAGCAGATAATGTTTCATAATAAGCAGTTTCTGAAACAAAAAAAAATGTTTTTTAATGTTGAAAAATACTCAGGTGCAAACTAAGGCTAGCTTCAGTTGAGGCTAACTGACAGCTGTCATTTCTGTCTGATAATGTTGTAGAAATAACTGAAATTAGCAGTATTATATCTAAAAGGATGCTGTTAAAATTTCATTTATTAACATTAAGACATTTTATGATTGGACATGGCTATCATAATGTTTTCCAATGCTGTCTTTTAATTTTTTATTTCATTTTTAATTACAATATCTTGGCATAGTAAAAATCCTCTCTCTAAATTAGCACTGAGTAACATTTTTACCCTAATAAATCATCTTCTCTGTGTTTAAGAGATGATTGAGAGGTTTGTCATCTCAACCATAAAAATGCTTAAGTTGGAAAAACAACACTAGTGACCACACTCCTCACATTGTGCTACAAAAAGAAGTATATGGAGCAGTTTATTAATTAATTAATTAATTTATGTATTTTTTGGACTTTTCTGACATGTTCGAAACAGCAAAAAGGGGGGGGGGGAACCTTCTTAGAAGAGGAAAATAAGAAAAAATAGGATTTGCTTTAGAACAGGGCTCAAACAAGACTGCATTTGAGCAATGCCACTCTGTGGTGACACCTAAAAAAAAAAAAAAGGCAAAAAAAACAACAAAGAAACCAGAGCCTTTTTCCACTGCTAGCCATGGGATTTATAACACCACAATGTATATAACCCACTTAATAAGAATCCCAGTTTATTCATCAGCATCACTCTTTATTACCCTGAAAGCCCAGAGACAATAAGCCAGAGAGAAACTGCACTATACTTTAAGTCCAGCAGGTGGCAGTATGGTGAACACACAACTGGTGTGCACATTTCCTACACTGCAGACCAGTTATGAAGACATCACTGGGGATAAAAGATTTCATTATTTGACTTTTATTTCACTTATGAACCTGCAACTATCCAGAATTTATAATCATAAGCAAATATTTATATAAAGGAAAATACACCAGATAATTACTCCATTATAACATTTTTTTTTTTTAAACTGTGAATGAACAGTTTATATTTAAAACCTAATATACTAGATTTTACTTTCTGCAACATGCAGCTTTTTTATTTATTTATTTTTTCATTTTATTTCTTTTTTTTACCACATAGCTCTTGTTAGTACAATATCTGCTGACCTGTTAGTTTTCTCATTGTGACGACTTTACAGTGATCTGTTTTTTAGCATACCACCTTAAAACATGGAGAGGCTTTAATAAGGAAATTTTAATAAGGCAATGTCCCCTCATCAAAAGAATTTTCCGTATCTAATGATTGGAGCGCTGCATGAGGCCTTCCTTTATTTGGTTAGCACAGTCAGATTGGTAAATATTTCTATCTAAGAAAAAACAGCTTGTTATATCAACTCCTGGACTCTCTACAACCCCTCACACCGAGCATGTATGCAGTGACAATGGAGAGTAAAACTCCCTTTTAACAGGAAGAAACGTCCAGCAGAACAAGGCTCAGTGTGAGCGGCTATCTGCCATTGCCGACTGAGGTTCAAAGAGGTGGAGGCAGATATGCAAATAAACATAAATCAAATAACTTCTTTGGCGCTCAGGCCCCGGCAGAAGACTTTTATGCTGTGGATCAACATTTGCTTGAATGAGTTACCTAGGAAAAGAATTAGAGTAATCTCCTGCCAAGGCCCGGACACCGGTGGTGGAATTAGCCAGAGAGATAGTGGGACTGAGAATAGGCAGAGAATGAGGGAGGCCAGGAGCTAATGGGAGGGGATCTTGAAAGATGATTGGCTGATGCTGGATGAGGGACATCACTAGTGGTTCAGTCTTTCAGACAGAATTTTCACTAAAGCTTCATGCCTGGTTATAGTTTTTGCAGACGATTCAGCAAAGTTTTATATAGAATGTTGAAATCTAAATTTAATACACTTCAAATGTATTTTTTTCACATTTATTTGAAGATTTTCCTGGCTGTGGCCGCTCCATTTACCTTTTCTGTGACTGTTCTGATCCCTGAGTATATATTGTCAACCACTGACAAAATGACCAATAAGGGAGCTGCTTACATTTGCGGAGCAACTGTGATTGGTAAACTGGTTTTCAGTGTGCTGTGGGACCATAAGGGTCACGGAAAAAGTCAATGGATTGCGTAAAGCAAAAAGAAAATGGAATAAGGAATAAAATGTTAAGATTTGTGATAAAAAAATTGATTTATAATTTGATTTATTAATTTTGTTTTTAAAATCTTCATTTAGAAAAAGGATTTGAAAATAAATGTTTTAATTCAAGTACTTATTAATGTTTTGATAAATACAATTTACAATATCTTCTTTAATAAATCAAACTAAAATGGGAAATTAGAAAATGCTTTACAAATTTTATTTTAAATTGCCTGATTTAAATGTTAAATTTGAAAAGGCTTGTTTTCTTTTTTTCCATGATTCTCTTGGTCCTCCATAGTACATGTTTAAATTAGTACTTGCAGTTTTAGTTTAAAATATTTCCATTTTGATTTTACTTTTGGCTTTATGTAAACTTGTCTTTTTAAAGCCTTATCACAAAATATTAATTAAAGCATTTAACAAATTATACATTTATGTTTAAAAAAGAAAAGAAAAAAAGAGTAACAGTATCCATCTAATTATTTTCTTTTAATGTTGGGTCATTATTGGAGTACTATTCTCTGACTAGATATTCGGGTTTATTGGCTGGAATTTATCAGGATGTCTTTGTGGCTCTGCCATATTGGTTAATAACTGCTCAAGTGAATCACAAAAAAGCGAATAAAGACATTGTTTCCTACTTGACTGGTCACACTGAGAAACTCACTTTTATGTGCACAAGAGAAACATTGTACTCCGTCCCCTTCAAAGTCACTCCTTAGCCTAGGGTCACAGTGTCTTTTTATGATAGTATCCACTTGTATCAGGGATCATTTAATTCTGCAGCATGATTGATTCTGCCATAGGTTAAATGTGAGGGAAAAAAGGTCTCTTCTATTAAGAAATCATTGGTTAGTGGAGACCTCCCACTTGAATAATATTATTTCCACCTGGAGTGTGTGTATGAGTGTTTGTGTCACTCTTTTCTTATGTTGAGGTCATAGCAGCAGTTGCAGAGGACCTGGTTGAATTGAAATAACCCAGATAATTTTAAAGGCATTGACAGTGCAATTTGTCGACTCAGTGTTATTACTCTGACCCCTATTAGTGTCAATGGGCAGGTTCATTTTATCCTCCATGGGATATCATGATGTTATCCCCTCACTGCTGGGGAAGTGGTGTAATACAAAGAAAAAAAAGTATTTGATGGTCATTTCAAAGACATTATGTTAGATTAGAGTGACCAGTGAGCATTATGAAGTTTTAATGTTTCACGCTGTCATTCCCACAAAATTCATTTAGCAGTAAAAATTGCGGATGAGGAAATAATTACAGTATGAGCTGGCGAGTTAAAATGTTCATTCTATTAACCTTTTTAAACTAAATGTTTTTAATCTCTGTTAACAGGCAGAAAGTGGGACCTTTGTAAAGCAACTCAATGGATCCTAAAGCCAACTCTGAGACAGCATCCTCCCCCTCTGCAGTAAGTTATAAGAAAAGATAAATACTGTTATTGATCTTCATTGGTTTTGTTTTCATTTCAGAAATAGTAAAATAAAACAGACTACTTTCCATTGATATTATTAATAAGATTTTTTCTGGTATCTGGTTTCATGGATATATCTGCACAAATGTTAAGCTCAGTCTATTTTTTATCATATATTAATCAGTAATTACAGATTAATATGATATATAGATTTTATTTTTCATTTTAGTTGCCTTCTTGCTGCTTCTTAAATAATCGTGTGTTGTTTTTTCATCCTTTATTTGAAAATATATATATAAACATGGTCCAGGGGAAAAAAATATTAGAATGATGACTAAATGTGCATACCAGAAAATGTTATCTATATCAGTGATTTATTTAAAGATACAAATATGATACAGATTAATTTACAAATAGGCATTTATCACTGCATATTGACCATTTTGTTACAGATAACCAGGGGAAGATTAATTAGAATGATGCATAAGTATATAAATAAATAATAAAAAAAAAATGTACTTTGTCAGGGGTTGGTTTACATGTCTGTGAGGAGGCATGGAGGCGACCCTGCTCAGGTGTTTAGGAACACCAAATTTAATTATGACTTTCTGCTCATATGCATTATTGTGCCTGCTTTTTGTCATAAGTGAGAATAAGTATGATATCAAGTCTTGGGAAAATAAAATCCATATCTATTTAAAGCTTTTCCGAACAAGGAAGTCCAACTTTCTCCAAAGATGTAGTGGTTAGATCCCTTTGCCGCCTTCACCTTGAAATATCCGGCTCTTAAGCAACATGGAGTTTTTTCTAATTGACTCTTCCTTTTAATTTTTGGAACAAACGTTAATAAGAATAAGTTTAAGATGCACCCAAATTCACAGTAAATAAACACCAAGACGCAAGAGGGACCCAAATACAAAGATTATCTTTCATCTGATCATCTTACAATACAAAGTATAGCCTTTTAGGTTAACAAACGAGCCTAAAAAATTTACAGTCTTACCATATTTCATCTATTTTTCTTATTTAACATGATGGGAGATAATATCTCTGATCATAAAACCATTTTTATTTTTCTGATACAGTCTGAAGACCCTGCATTGGAGCAGGGGCTCTTTCTGTCCAGCCCTCAGAGTCAAACAGAAGGTGGAGCACCGATCTTACTACAGCTGTTGGAGTTTAAAACTCATCTACAGGAGGTCGTAGAGGAGCTGCATATTCGACGGGTAATATGAGGCTTTACTTACAGTAGCTATTATGAGAAATCTCCAGCAAATCTGACAGATAACAGCGAAATATCTTATGTAAACACAGTGAAGCAACGACATTCCTGTTTGATCTGTAATTGTAAGTCCCAAACAATTTGACACATCTATCAGGTAATATGTCAGTAACCCAGGAGGAAAATGTTTGACTGCAACACCAATAGTGCTGAAAGAGAGCAACAAGGTTTTTATTATGACTGAGGAACTGGTTTTATATTGTTCTTAAAGACAGTGCCTCTGGCTATGTAACAGGAGGCCAGTTGGGCTTCATACATTTCAAATACGTTTAAAAACAGGATTGGGGTCACATAAGCCATTTAGCCTTTTGCAACTAAGTAAAGAGTAAATTTGTTAGTATAAAACATAAATAATGATTTTCTCCTCCCCTTTGGCAAGCACTTTCAGCATGAGCGTACTTAAAGCTCAGAGAATCAAAATGGGATGTTGGCCATTTGTTGCCATCTGGTTTTTATTGTTATTGTCCTGTTAACTCGGACAAAAACATGATTGCATCTTCTGGTCCTCGAGCAAAACAACACTTTGTAGTGTTGGGGTTAAGAACCAAGAGGATATCACATTCCTGAGCAGGTCAAATTCCAGGGAGGGTTTTGAGATACAGTGCAGCTCACTGCTCTCTCTCTAATACAAATGTGAGACAGTTATTGTGGAGTTGCTTAGTCGTAGTCTGTTTCAAAAATACATTTTAGGGGAATACAAAGAAAAAACAAAAACGTTTGATGATCTATCATCTAGATTTGGAAATCTTAAGAAAAAGTTCTTAATAAAACTTAACTTAAGATTCATTACTTTTTTGTGCTCTCTTACAAATATACAGTAAACATTATCTTATTACTTTTATTACCAACTGAAAAGCAACTATTCATAATGGAAATTAGATAACTAAAGTTATTTTTAATGTAGAGAAAGATGTAGTTTGACACTGATATTCGTTACTTCAACAGCTTTTGTTGGCCACAGGCACAAAACTTAAAAGAAGTAAAACAGAAAAAGATACATTTAATGTGACTAGATAACATAATTTAGGGATAAAACAATATTCAAACATGACATTTTGATTTAGGAAGATTATAAAGCTTGAAAAACAAATTCAGTTTGCTTTAACATTTTTTTTAAAAATACACTTTGACTGTAATTATTCTCCCACTCCCCTGAAATAACAGCTTTATATTCTATGCTTTCCTATCGTTTTTGTAATGCAGTGCCACACTGGTAGCATGCTTTAATAGGAACTTATAAAACAAATTTACAGAGCCAGCCCTCTCCCACATGCTCGTAAAAAGTACAGCATTTATAGAAAGCTATTGACTTTTACCTGCCTTCTCCTGGAAGGAAAAGGGAGGATAGGGATGGCGTTCCACAAATACAACCTCCCCTTTAATGCTCCTCTCTCACAGGGGGCTTCTGCAAAAAAATACGGTGGAATGAGCCAGAGAAACTTCAGACAACTCCAGAGAGTTATTAAGCCCCAAAACATTGAGAAAAAACAGACTTATTTTATACTTTATCTGCTTGAAATGCAGTCACTGGGTCTTAATCCCATTTAGCTTTATTACCAGTGATCTAATTTAGTAGATGTAGTCATTTGAAAAGTTTTGATACACTTGGCAGGGGCATGGATATTGCATATTCAAATTTGTGGGCATTAGGCCTCCATTCATTCCTGTGATGCGAGCATGTAATGTTTTCCCTGGTATCATAGATTAGTTCTTTCTATGAACAATCTGATATCCATAGCAGTAAAATGTTTGCCTGTACCTGACAATATGGCTGCACATTTTTAGGAAAACAAGTGATTATAATGAAAAAACTACTGAATATTGTGATTGCAGTACTGGACTTTGACAGCATTTTGTTTTGCTCATACAGTTTGCGTCTTGTTTAGCCTAAATAATGAGAATAAAGGTCAGGCCTATTTGTTCCCTATAAACCATCACTCAAGCTAACCCGTTGGCGACAACCTGCTCAGCAATTCTGGGATTTTCTCTTCATTCTGGAAGCAAACAAACTTATCTTACCATGTGTTGACCTATTTGATGTTTTATGTAATTCAAAAGTATATTTTGGCAAAGCCTGCCTTGTCTCATACAGTATATGTATTATATCCCGTCACAAGGATGTGCACCTTTCATGTGCATTTTGCACAAGTATTGGAAGATTAATACACTATTGTGTAATAAATAATCTAAAGTATAAATGTTGCCGCCTGTCTTCTTAAAGGAACAATGCACTATATTTTGTTATTTTAGATAGATGGAACTAAATCATGGTGATGTGAAGAAATAAAGGATTTCTTTTAGGAGGAATATAATGTCACTTCACTCCCCATTTCTCTGTTCTCCCCAGTCTGTTGTTTACAAGCTACAGTAGGGCGGCTGTGCTTGCGTGTATGTCCATGTAGAAGCAACACGGTGGAGCACGTATCAAATGGATAAAAACGTTCACCAGATGACAATCATTTGCCATAACTTTTGCTAGATAAGTTATAAAGTTATGAGTTGCTTACTTCTTCACTACATGTTCCTCCAGAAGGTGATGCAAATATGCGCATATGAGTGGACAGGTAAGAAGGGTGGTCTGGCTGGGGTTGCAGATAGAGTGGAGGTACAGTAGAGAGGACAACTCTTGTCACACATCTTGATTTGGTCAACAGACAATGTTCAACAGCCTCCTGGTGGTGGAATTTTCCTCATAGCTCCTTTAACAATATCCGATTGCTTTTAAGTTATGGCAAATCACGGTGCCATAAATCAGTGATTTTAAACCGTGCTTCTTAAGACACACTGCTCTGCATATTTTAAATGTTTCTCAGCTTCAACACACCTGATTCAGATGATCCCAGTTAAGCAAAGCCTTACAGTATCTAGATATCAAATTATATCAGCTGTTGGAAGCATCCAAGACATGCAGGGCAGTGTGCCTCGAGGACAATGGTTAAAAAAACACAGCCATAGATAATAAATAGCATGTGATACATGGGCTTTCACCCAATTCCTAATGCTGTGTATTATGCCGTAATTTACAAACACTTGGGATGTGAATTGTAACCCATAAAACCTTCTTCTTGCATGTCACTTTAAATGGCCTTGCAGGAGTGTACATTTAAGTTAAAGCAACTATAAACTATGTAGTTCTGATTACATCTTTTTAAGTATTACAGGCAACTGTACTTGATGAAAGAACAACCTGTAATGATAATATTTAAAGAAAAATATTTTGTGATTCTTCAAGTTGCTGCTGGATAAATAATCAATAAATCAAGTACTTTTTGCTCTCCATACTTGAAATGTATTTCCAGGTTTTCCCTTCTGTGCTCTTCTCCTGGGAAAAGCAGGTTTTGAGCTTAGGATACAGGTCTTCCTAGAGTTGGTTTAAGTACAGTAGAGCTTATTGTTTTTGATCTTTTAGGATGCAGAGATGCGGTTTGAGGATGAGATCAGTAAGCTTGCCCTGGAGAAACAGGAGCTAGAGTGGGAGAAGGTAAAAAAGTACATTAATAAACTTCCTCTCCTCCAAAGTTAACCTTCAAAATATCTGTTCTAAATTGTAAATAATGTGTTATGATACATGGGCAAGTTTTTGTCTTCTTGTCTTTAAACAACAGGAATCTCTTCAACATCAAATAGAAACCATAACAAAACAGCACACTGAATCACTCAGCACTGTGAGGAAAGGGGTGTGTTTTTATTTTTAAACCTGAACAAAATGTTTTAAACCCAATAACAAATGAAAAATTTGTCTAAGTAATTTATCTCCCTCCTTGTAGTTTCAGGTCAAATTACAACACGCCGAGGAGGAGAAGGTATGAAAAGCTTGTTGTTCTTGTGAACCTTTTTTGGGAGAAAAGTGCATTTTATTCAGTTGATGCTAAAGCAGAGTAGTAAATTCACTGTTGTCAGCCTCATAGTCTTGGCCCTTGGAGAGAATTCTTTCATGCCGTGCTTTGGTATTTATTGCTGTTTTTGACACTCACAATAATAATATCAAATTTCAGGGGAAATACCAGGTCAGTGCCGAGTTAAAGGACAAGGAGATTAACAATTTGAAGGAAGAGCTGAAGTCATTGCAGGTACTTAAAACTTTAACATCCAGTGTCTTTTTCTCCCCTGTTTTCCATCACAAAGTAAAGGCCTCAATTTACCTGTTTCCATTTTTATTTGTAGTAGAATAAAATATATTCATACTTAGTAACAGCAGTGACGATTTCTCAATGCATACTAGGGAGGCTAAACCTCCCCTGTAAATTTATAAAAACCATTGGTAAGATATGCATTGTTAAACTTCATAAATGTAGTAATTAAACAACATTAAATATGTGCTAAAATGTGCCTGATTTCATGAGTATGTTTAGCATTAATCAGCTGCTTATTCTGTCCTCGGATGCAATCTCCCCTCCGCTCTGAAGCGGCAGGAAGCTGCCTGTCAACCTCTATGAGAAATCCCTGTTTAGGTTTGAGCCTCTGTCTATTGAAATAAGCAGCGAGAAAGTAGAGCCCTGATTGAATAACGCGCCAAAATACGTCACTTCCTGTGAGGTTAAGCCTCTTAGAGTGTCTGTGGAGCAGGGGCGAGTCGTTTAGCCGGCTACTCAATGCTGATTGGCTAACATACTTAAGGATTTTTCAAGAGTCGAGCTTGAGAAGTGATGTTTTAGCCACAACAGTCATCTTGTGCTGAACTCACCATGGCTTCAGAAGTTTATTATTTCAGAGCGCTTCACAACTGATGATTTCACCAGTGGTAGAGATGTGTTTTATATGTTTTAAAATTTTTTAATGCAATAAGTGACGTTTGGATCAAATTAACACCATTTAGTCTCCCCTGTTTCAGAGAGCAGCAGCTGCCGCTGCTCAGCAGAACAAGTAGAAAGTAGATAAGAAGCCTTGCTTGATCAGAGTCAAGGACAAAGGTCTGCAGTGAGGGCAGTTTGTCTGCATGGTTGACAACACAGAGGTGATATACGGCCATTCATACGGCCGGCTGCACTTTAACAACCCAGCTTAGTTACTGAGACAATGCAGACAGGTTTTGATATTCTATCTGGGAGAAAATTGTGGGCGGATTTTGGCTCAAATTAAGTTCATTACTGTGTCATTGTCTGATATACAGTATTTCTTTAGTACAATTTTACAGAAGCAAAGATCCAGAACTAAGATATGAAAATATCACTTCACCAAATTTGAACTTTTTAGTTTACTAAAAATTAATCAACCCTTTTATTTAAAGTACAGTAAAATAAAAAATAAAAAAAAAACTCTCAGATGTATAAACGTCTAATAGTTTTAGCATATGAACATAAGTAACAGTGTTTAACAAAATATTTGGTGTATTTATAGTGATATTAGATTATTTTTAAATATGTTAACATAGTCACACTCTCGTTTAAAAGCAATCATTAATATATTTTACCTTTTTAATGGCTGTGCAGGAAAATGTTTTTATTAATAGTCTTTTTAATGAGTGGTTGTTTTGATTTCTTTTTGGAGGTTTTACAGTGAAAATAAAACAAAAATTTTGTTGTACTTTCTAACCCACATAAAACCTTAATTAGTGGATATTAAAACATTCTTACACATCTAATCTGTCTCCCTGCCAAATGTAAATATGGATCCTACTTGTAGGCAACAGGACAAATTAATAGAACAAATCCCCTTAAGCAGATGCTTGCAGTCTTTTGGCATCATTTTATCTTAATTAGCATTTTGATATTATCTGAACAAAGTTGAATACATATATCCTTAGACAGTTTATTTCAATTCATTCATTAACCTTAAATATTTACATATTTATTTTTACATAAAATTTTGACTCAAGGCAACTTACAATGACAGCAACTCCTTATCATATGCAAGCATAAGCTGACAGTGGAGAGGAACAGCAAGAAGAAACCTCAAGGCTCAAAATGAGTGGCCATTTATTGTCACTGGTGGGAGTTTAGAGAAGAGGTATCAGTTAAAGCAGCAGTTCTTATTTTGTGGAAAATTAACAATAAGTTGATGATTATTCATGTGTAAAAATTATTTTCAAAGAAAAAAAGAAAGCATGAAATAAGGAATTATTATTATTATTAGACATATTCTTATTCTTGTCACATAATTAAGCCATACATGAGGATGCTGGGAAAAAAAAGCAACATTAAAAGCCTCTGCCTGTTTTCTCATTCAGACAGGTTGTTGTAATCACATAATAGGCTTAAATCAGAGGCAACCATATTTTCGCTCTGTTTTTCCCAAGGAGCCTTTTTCAGTTTTCTCGGCTCGACTAGTTCTCACTTAGAGGATAAGTGTTGAAATGTTAACAGAAAACCCGAATAAAAGTCTGATTGCCTCTAATTTAAGCCTGTGATGTGTTTAAAAGCTCACTGCTGATGTTTCCTGAATCGTTTCATTCAGTTGTCTTGTCTGAGCTAAACCACCAAGAAGGGAAATTCATTATATATTTACCTTTCAGTGGCTTTTGTCGAAATGAAATTTGTTGTAACTTTTGAATAATACTTCAATGGGGTCCACAGAACTTTTATTTTTTAAGTTCTTAATAATGTTCTTAATTATTATTAATAATGTTCTTTAAGAACAAAGAATTGTTCTTAAGATTATTCTGTATACATCAACTATTCTTACTTCTTGTGTTATTTAAGTCCATGTTTTTCTTTTAACAGTTGCTGAAATACAACTTGGAGAAAAAATCCAGTGAGCTGGTAAGGAGGGATACTCTGTCTAGACAATCTGTTGACAAGTGGTGGTTGCAGGGAGGAGAATTAAACGAGGAAGAAGAGGGACTGGTGCTGAGGAGGTGCTGGTTCAGAGGGAAGAGCTCATCATGAGCAACAGAGAGGGAGTGTGTGACTCTTTAAAATGCCACCACAGTAGAGAAAATCTCTCTATTAAAATATTTTATAACTGGTCCTCGCTCAGTTTAACCTTCTTGGCAGCAGGATCAGAGGGAGTTCAGTAAAGCTGGTTGATTAGAGAGTTGGATGGAGGGATGAAAGTGAAGGGAGGTAAAATGAGAAAGATGGAAAAAAATAAACTTGGTTTGATACAGATAATCAAACTGTAATGGCAGTTTGAGGAGCAATAAAGTGCTCTGAGGCATGAGCAGAGTCGATTCTTTCATTGCTCTGAAACACCAGCTCCATTAAACGAGGATCGTCTCATATATCTGACAAATACTTCAATTGTGCTTAGAGTCAAAGACAAAATCAAGTAAAGATTTTTTCCAAAAACGTTTGTACCTGCCTAAAAACATGTTTAGACATTAGATTCATCTAAATGACTTCGATATAGCTTAGACTGATCCAAAACTCATCAGAGGGTAAAATATAGAAAATAAGAAAAATATTAAAAGCTTGTAATAAATTTTATGCAGTTATTCATCCATGTGCCATATTTTTTTCTGATAGTTATCTTTACATCTATATAACGCAAGGTACGTAGATTGAGAGCTAAAATCTATTATTTGGGAACGTAACTGTTTGTCCTTTAGCTATAGAGAAGATTGAGGAAGAGGTGGGTTGAAGCAAAGCTTTGTGGCTGTAGTGATCAGCAGTGATAATGTATTATGTAGCCTCAGCTGTCGGTAGTTTTCATCAAGTGCCAAATAGCAGCTATTACGGGGCCGGCAGCAGTACTTGGTGGAATGTGTTTATTACTGCTGTTCAAAAAATACCTATCATTTCCGAGAATAAAAAAAAACATCTTTGAGTCATGCTGCGATGGACTGGTGACCTGTCCAGGGAGTACCCCGCCTCTCGCCCATTGACTGCTTGAGATAGGCACCTGCACCCCTCGCGACCCCACTTGGGATAAGCGTGCTAGAAAATGAATGGATGGATGAACTTTGAGTCATGTTTGAACTGATGCAGGTTGGTCTGTGTTCTAGTCACCCAATTTTATTTATATATTCAGAAACTAGAGGGTGTTAGCTTTCAAATAATTTATTGCACATGTAATTTGGGCTTACAGTTCCTCAGTTATTTGCTTTTTCATTTGAGTATGCAAAATACGCGAGGATTACCCAAAATGAGGTGGATGTTAAGAGGTAAAATAATTATCTTAACATCTGTGACTTACTTTTGTTAAAGACAAACTGAAAATATACCAAGACGTATTTTAAAACTAAGATGCCTACTAAACCAGGGTTCTGTGTGCCCTGAAACCTCAGCCAATGATTTACTGTATTCCTTCATTCATTGTAACATGATAGGAAATATCCTCATTTATTCCGTAAAAGTTTAAAAAACAATCCACTGGACTTTGTTTTCAAGGTTTGAAGATGTTTAGCTTCCCGTCTAGGAAGGTTTCTCAATTCAAAATTTCTGAATTCGCATTAAGTTTGAGGTTTTATATAGACAAGGCCTTGTATTGCTTGGAAATTTGCAAATTTTGGTTCCATTTAGCCTGGAATATCTGAAACCTGTCTATGATTGTAAAAGATCGGGGGTTAAAGGGGCTTCCTGGAGGGGAAGCAAAACGTCTTCAAACCTTTGAAACCAAGTCCAGTGGATTGTTTTTTAATCTTTTACGGAATGACTATGACCTGGATGACTGAGAATATTCTCCTCATTTAATTCATAGTTAACCCTTTTTATACTTTAAAGTTGATCAAAAACGGACCTGGACAATTTGACTTGGTAAAATTATAGATTTAAGATCATAAAATATGTCAGACCCCTGTGCTAAAAAAAAAGTGTTTTTGTGAAGAGGACATGTCAGATCCTCAGAACACAGCCTTCCTGAACTCTAAAAGGAGTCAAAAATTAAAAAAGGAAAAATGTTGAAGAAAATAAAAAGTGAAAATAATTTTGACTGAACCAAAGAAGCTTTTATTGTTTTTATTTACTAGCCATCAATTTTTTCCTTTTTCTATTTCTAAAAGGAAAATGTACAAAAATATGACAAAGGCTCTCTATGCCTCTGTGGGATTTTCACAGGAACAGAAACTAGCCCTACAGAGTCGGACCAAAGAGAACCATCTGAACCAACTGGCAGAGGTGGAAAAAAGATTCAGCCTCCTTTCCAAGCAGTGTGCCCTGGTCAAGCAAGCTCATGATAAACTGGAGCAGAATGGTAACGGATGACTAGATGAAGTGGATACAGATGATTATTGATATTCATAGTGAAATGTAATCTTTACATTTTAATAGTAAATCTAAAGAACTACCTAAAATATTAAAATATTAGCCACAGAACAGTCTTGACTCAGCTTTTGTTATACCTTGTTGAAAGGCTTGGTTTTGAATTAAAATAGATATGTTTATTATTACATAACAACAGCAGGTGGATACAGTCATTCATGATAAATTGTTCATAGATGTCTTTAGTTAATTTAATGTTAATTAGACTTTAAAATGCAGACTAAGTTAGCTCAAGACAATCAGACTTAAAGCTAAACTGGGCTAATTGTTGCAGTTAATTGTTGTCTGCTTAATAAAGTGCTGAAATCAATGCTGTTTAAAGGACATATTTAATAAGTTTTTAACAGTAAGGTTTGATTTTGACTCATGCAGTAGAGGATAGATTTCTAGAAAAGCTTTCTAACTCTGCAGTCTTTATTTCTAATCTACTATTCATGTTTAGATAATACGCAGGGGTTATTGCTCCTTGGAGAACCTGGGAAAATATTCTTACTTGTATGTTTGATAGTAATAATGAGGAAATGTAAGATGTAAATAATTCCCTTCTGCTGAAAACAGATCCATCACATAATAGTTTTGCTATTTAACAATACTCTGCTCATACATATCTCTGTATCCTCCAGTTTGCATGCTTGTATCCTGCAGTCATGTTTGTTTGGTAATCTTTTTTTTTCTCTCAAAGTTGATGAGGCCATGAAGATGAATAGCAAGTTGACTACTGCCAGTCAAAAACAAGAGAGAATCATTGTTTCACTTAAGAAGGTATGAGGACAAGGCAAATACTGCGTACATTCAAAGTTCATTTCATGTTTACAACCCAACTGTATCAAAGATCCTTATTTAATTCAATCAATCTATGGAGCATTAGTTCCCAACAAATGTCATTAGGAGGCACAAAAAAACAGGCCCAATTTCATTCAAATTTATTTTGAAGAAGAAATGTAAGAACAGACTGGGGGATGAGAGGTCAAAAGAAACACATAAAACAAGACAGAAACACTGCTAAAAAAAAAAACAAAACAAGGAAGGTGCCCAGAATGACTCCATCAAGAAAAGCAATTACAGGCAGGTGAACCAGTTTTTTATGAAGAGAAAATTTACATAGGACGCCATCTATTAATCACTTTTTGTCTAAGGAAATGTTTGAAAAAAATTTTTTTCTAGTGTTTGGAAAAGTATTTTAGGAATCAGTGAATCTGAATAATTTTGTGGTTCATCTGGTATTTTCTTTCAGGAGTTAGAGGAAGTCAGTAAGAAGCTCATAAAGGAAAGGATGAAACTGGTCGCACATGAAAAGACCCCGAGTCCTTCAGGGAGGGTACAGCTTGTACAAGAGCTGCAACAAAAACTCAACATGGTAGGATGTTTATCAGTAGGCACTGACTTTAGAAAAATCCAAAAATGGTGTTTTGGTCCACCATAATAAAACACACAGTTGACAGACACTTTGAGCTGCTTTGTGTTTTTAGGAGACTGAAATGAACAAGAAATTAAGGGAGGAGAATGTTGCAGAACGAACAGAAAAGCAGGTAACGTGTAGATGGATAGTTTAAATATTTCCCATTTACATATAAAAAAAGAAAAAATAAGATTTCATTGTAGGAAGTGTTAATCAGATGTATTTTGTTTAAGCTTGTACAGTTATATCTATAAGTATAGATCTTCTAATTGTTTCTGCACTTTATATTGGTAATGTTTATGTTAGTCAAACTGCACCACACTACACACTACACCGTTCCAAACTGTATGCAGCAAAATTTTGTTTTGTATACACTCTGTGCATACAAAACGATAATACAGTCGTCAAAATGTGAGGGAAAACTTTAATCAATAAATAACATGAATTGAATACAAACAAAAAACAGAATATGTTGAGGAAATATTAAAAAAAAATCTGCATGAATGACTATGTTAGCTGTTCCATATAAATCTCTTGTGTAGTTCTCTGCTTTTATATGTTTTGTGTTTCTTTGTTTAGAAGCTGATGAGGTCCCTGCAGCACAACCAGCAGATGATGCTGAGTCAGACACAGACAGTTAGGAGACTGGAACAAGAGCTAGAGAGTCAAATAGTGAACTTCCAGGTCCGACTTTTGGTGATTTATCTGTTTTTCACATTTATTTAACCAAGTGTCTTCCAGAAAGTGAATAATAGCATACCATCAATTCGCTTGATTCTTAAAACACTTTTTATTCACATGCAGTTGGATCCAAATAGCCCACACAAGTGATTAAAATAGCAATTTTTCTGATGTGAAGGGAGGATAAACCAGCATTAAACAAATGTCCATAAAATCTAATAGTGTTTTGAAATCGAAATTATTTGAAATACTCTTACAGGGAATTGTCTTTATGCAACGGGAATTATTTTTACAAAATCTCTTCCTATTGCTCAGGATTCGATATGTTTTTAACTACAAAGACAAATTAAGTCCTCCATGAAAAACGTATACATTTTCAATTGCAGGGAATTTAACTTCAATTTAAGTGATGTAACCTACTTCTGATTACTATTGATAAACTAAAACAAAACAATCTAAACACTACTTTTGAATAGAAAATTTAATGACAAGCAAAAAGATAGCAGCAAATATGAAAATGATTTTAAAGCACTCAGAACCACCACCAAACCAAGAAGCTTTATTATTTAATGCTGCTCAGCTAAACTTAATCTATTTTATACACATGCAAGAAGTAGATGGAGATCATATGATTTGTAAAGAGTAACACGCTTGTAGTAGCCATGAAACTTTGAAGATTGTGTTGCAGGCAGCAGCCATAGTAACCAACCATGTGTACAAATTCATCCACTGTGAATGTGGGTGCACCCATGTCATGGCTATCTAATGCTGAGCCTCTCAGAACATCCCGCCATCTACACAAAATGCCTGGCAGTTGAACAGTACAGCTAAAGTTTTCCTCACTCATTTGCCTGACAATCAAATGCTCCAGCAAACGTCTTCTCCACAGACATTAGCTCAACTACTTTTGCCCCCTGGTGGCATTCCACATGTCCAAGTTTCTTGCAAGTGCATAACCCTCACTGATTATATTGAATTTTAACCGTCTGGATTTGAGATTCTTATTATTTTCAACTCTGGCTAAGATTCACATCAAAGTTTCTGAGGTATTTATGAATAAAAGAGAAAGAGCAGGTGAAATATGTTGTGATTTGCTGATAGATATTAAATGTATGGATATATTTTTGACAGTAAATATGAGAAGGCATTTCAGGCTTTATTTTCAAAGCATAATAATTTTAAGAATCATCAACACAGGCAAAAACTGACACCAGTTGGCTTCTTAATGCTTCCCATAGCTTTTTAAAAAGTTTTCAGTGTATAATCTTCATAATTTTGAGTGACTGACAGAAGTTCATTCCTTTTTGGAGAAACCTGCACCGTTTTGTTTTTTATTTCTTTTGAATCTGTTTAAATTACAATACAAACACTTGTACAAAAACAGAAATAAATGCCAACCTCTGTTCCATCTCATATCACAACATGTACATTTGAGAGTAAAATCCCCCCAGAACTGAATGATAATATGTTTTTTTCTCCATTTATGGCTTAACAGTTTATTGTTCTCTCTTCTTTACTCTGTCCCACCCCACCTCCCTTCATTTTATTTCTCTCACTCATTAATTTATTAATCATTATTAAAATGACACAAGAAACCTGATTTGTATTAGCAAGAGGTTCCATCTCTTTCTCTCTTGGCCCCTTTTTAAAACCTTCTGTTCCTGTTAAATAAACTCGTAAAAATTTAGTATTGCATTAAAATCCTATGGGCAATTAATTTTATGGCAGGCCCTTAAGCAAGAACAGGAAGCGATGCGAGGGGATAGAAAGGCAATGGAAGACAAAGTGGCAGAACTGACTGAGAGCTACGCCGCTTCCAAGATGAGCTGGGACAAAGAGGTAAAGCAGAAACTGCTGTTTTATGGAGGTGGTGAGAAAATAAGCTTTTCTTTTAAGAAAGAACTTTCCAGTCTTGTGTTTACTTTGATTTTGTGATCAAACAGAGGGCAACATTTCTGCATCAAATTAAGAGTGAGCAGTCAGACCTTCAAGCTATGAAAGAGGCTTATGAAGACATTCAGCAGAAATGCTCAGATATGACCTTGAAGGCCAACTCTCAGGGAAATCAAACAGAAAAACAGGAGGTAATAAAAAGCTTCTCACTCACTTCCTTACATGGATCTGTATTAGAGCAACACAGGTGACCCAATTAGAACATGATTCTAATCCAACACACAACAGTTTCAGTTTCTCCTTGAAATTAAGTCAATCATTTGAGCAAGTAACATGTTTTAGGATTTAAATATCTCCTAATTTATAGACTCCAAATAAAATGGCAAATATAATGTTTAGTTACAGAAATTATTCTTGTAGCAAATATATTTTACAGTATTTGTTGCCAGGTTTTATTGAGGAGAAGAAAAAGAGCTTCCCGAATAAAAACGTACATGGCTGTTTTTTTGTTTTTTTTTTAAGTTTAAATTTAATAAATTGAATTTGAGTCCACCTTATTTTCTAAACTGTTACTTAGAGAAATGATTTGGTCCTTAAATTAAGTACAGAGTTTACTATTTTTTCTTAGATTTTTATACTATATAAGTTGAATATAAGGAAAACATTAGGTAGGAAAAGGTACAGTGATAATAGGGATAGCTAAAGCCTTGATAGGGTTGTGGAGGCAAATCTATCCAGGAATTTTCAGAGGATTTCCCAAGAAATGGGCTGAGGTTGGAGTCAGCGCAGTAACAGCCGCCTTAAAAAGAGAAACAAACCAGAGAAGACGACAGCAGCATCTGACCCAGGCTGCAGAGAGAATGAAGGGGACTGTTGCTTCATTGTTTGAAGCTTTCATTGAGATTCAATGACAAATAAGTCCCCAGAGTCTGGATGAGGAGTCCACTTCATGCTTCCTTTTACTCAGTGAATTTTTATGAATATTGCAGAATTAATTTTTCCGCAGAATTTGGCACTCTGCCAAATATGTTTAGAGCAGCTGTAATGACCATGGTGCTGCTGTGATAGGTTGGTCAGAATCTGACCAGAACCCCACAGAGAAGCTGTGGAGCTTATCACTATCAAAGCAACGTGGACTTTTTTACAACTGGCCAGTGCTGCAGGCTGCAATGCCATGCCGAACTGATGCTGTAATCTATGCTCCAAGCAAGGATGACAGCAAAGAATCCCTGCCAGACTGACCTCAACAGGACTTAAATCACAACGCAGGAGTTGGACCAATAATGCAACAGCACTTTTTTCAGAACCATAACAGTTAAGGTGGAGTGTGTATTTTTGTTCTTAAAAGAGAATAATTATACACTTTGCACTTGAATTCAAGATAACTAGAGCTTGGCCTGTTTCCAGGGAAGTCCTGTTTCTTTTACTGTGACTGGCAGAATTGCCTCATCTGCCTGGCTGCGTCTTTCCAGGATGGGGTTACTCCAGGTTCTTCCTGTTAAAAGGGAGTTTTCCTCTCCACCTTCGCTACAAGCATGCTTGGTGTGAAGGATTGCTGAAGAGTCAACAGCAAAATGCAAACAAAGGTCCTCGTCGCAAGCTCATCCAAGCAATCAACTGGTTTTTCTAACCTGACACTATTGTCTCTAAAGCACCTTTAACATGTGTTTTCAATTGGCACTAAATAAATAAACTGAATAGAAATCAGTTTTTGATTTTTTTATAAACATAAGACATCTTATGAAAAAAGGGAACATGGACTTACCTGCTCCTATAGAGGAAAAACAGTTATTTTAAGAAAAATTCCATCATAAATGTTTACATTTTTTGGTTTCCTTATTTATAAGCCTTTTTAATCACAATTACAAGAAATAAAGACTCAAAATAATGTATTCTATGTGTAATAAATCTACATATTTGAGTTTTTCTCTCTGAAACAGGTCACAAAAATTTGGCCTTTTAGTACTTTTTCATTTTTTGTAATGCTACTCCATTAACCTAATGTATTTATGCTGGCAGTTTGTCTCCATTTAAATTAGATTTTAAGTAGCAATTCGGGGACAAAACACCTGTATTTAACGTCTACAGTCTGACTGTGACATTGCACTTGAGAAATTGTGCCCCCATGTGAATATCAGCGGAGCCAAATCAAAGTGAAAATAATTGTAAAATGTCTTACTTTGGTTTGATCTTTTTGCCAGAACTCATATTTTAATAACGACATATATACTTTTACAAACCAATCTATGTATAATTTATCCAATGCATCTCAACACATGTGACATGGATGGCCAACTTAAGCTTTTTAACAATCCGAAATTAAAATTGATTGCTTAAGGATTAACCCCTATCTTTCAATGCTTTTAGGCCAGCTGTAAGTATTGTAACTAAAATCAACCTTTAAAATTCTGTTACTTTTACATTTGTAATGATTTATTTTATTTGTTTTAAAGTCTTTAACAGTTCACTTTATCTTAATGTTGCAGATGAAAGACAGCAGTCAAAGTCCCCTTTTTCCAACCCAGCTGTTCTTCTTAGTTGCGGAAGGCTTCAGAGCTGAGCAATTTCCAAACAACCCAAACTCCAACTCTGAGCTCCCTGACCTCGGCAGTCTACATCACACTGTTTCCTCTCAGGCCAAAATCCCAGATTGTCTGAAGGACACAGGAGCAGCTTCAAAGCTGGCTGCTACCGGAGCAAGTGGAGGTCAGCCTTCAAATTATAAACAGGAGATTAGGATATTTGTTGCTCCCAATTTAAGCACTAATTTTTTTTTTTTTCCTGGAAAACATACCTCCAAGATATTCTTTCAGAATGAAACGGTGGTGAGTTTTTTTTAAATCAGCTTCTCATGTCTTTCTTTTATAGATCAAGACAAGTCGAATTCTCAGCAACAAATGATTCAACAGATCTCTGATCTGACTAGAAATGTCCCTGAAACCTCTGAAAAACCCACTGGAACCTGTCTTAATATATCAGACCCTGGATGTGTCTCCCTAGATGGATCAGAAATACCAAATTATGATGCAAATGATAAGGAAGACCATGGAAGGGAAGATACCAAACATGAAACCAAGGATACAGAGGAGGGAAATGAAACATTTCGAAAAGAGGATGTGAGAAGTGAAAGAAATGCAGGAGAAAAAAGGACAATCCCAGTTGAAACGGCAGATAGAACAGACACGTACAGGGTTAACGAGGGGTCAGCAAAGGCAACAGAGAAGACCAGTACCCCAGAAACAGAAACAAGAGATAGAGGAGAGGGAGAAGTAACAGATGGAGCAAAAGAGAGAGCACAGACGTTAGAGCATGCAGCAGTGGCTGCAGAAACACAGATACCAGCTCTGACAACCGCTGATATGGCTGAAGCGAGCGCCGCAGTGCAGGTCAATGACTTCATGGACAATGAGCTGCTGTCAACCGTCTGTGAACCCCTGAACTCCGCAGAAAGTGTTTCTCAGAAAGTCGCAGGGAATCTAAACGATACATTTAGTGTGAACGAAGAAGCACACGAAGAACAGCAAAGTGTCGATGCTGAAGATGAGCGACATGATTTAACTGGAGTGGTTCAGACTTCATGTCCCGAAGCTAAGCCGATGAGCAGTCAGTTGATCCCACCTTGTCTTATTCCAGGTGAGAACCAATTCGGGGAAACATCCAATGATCTTCCTGACAGATATTCTGAAATCTCAAAACAGTTGAATGCATCCACCTCCCTGACCAACCCTGCACTGTTTGCTCCTGAGTTTGAGCAAAACAACAACGTCGAGGGCTGCCAAACCAACCAAACAGAAACGGAAACATGTAATCCATCAAACGTCGATGCTAATATGACCCAAGAAGAGGAAAATACTGGTTTATCTGTGAGTAAAGAATCTGGGTTAATGAGAGAACCAACCCAGGAAGTATTAGCAAAGGAGGGTGTGCAGCTGGCATCTCCTGTGGCTGATGATAAAGAGGATGCTCAAAAGAGGAAGAAGACACAGCCAAACGTAAACACATGCAAAAATACTTGTATACCTTCATTAACATCCAGTTTAAACAACGCATCCCTGGAGGTTATTCTTAAACCAGATGTTTGTACTGGAAAATCTCAGGAGCAAACAAAACCCAATTCACCCAAAGATGTAGGAGATAAAGAGAAACCTGTAAAGACAGACGATATGAAGCTCCTTGTTCTGCGGAGTCATGACAACAAGGAATCATCAGAGACGGACAGTTTGCAACTTCCTCAGATGGCTGCAAAAGAGAAGAGACATGAAGCCTCCTCTGATTTGTCCCTGTTGAACAAAAATAGCTTCAGGCCCCTGTTCGATTGGGGGACAACTCAGAGGACGACCTCTAGCTCCAGAGAGAAGTCAGATGACTTCATCCTACAACAGTTAAGCCAGGTATGAATTATAATTCATTATGACCACAAGTTTTTAGGATTTAGTCCGAAAGACTATTAAACCATATACCGGTAGTATATATCACATGTTTTAAAACATTTCAACAAAGAAATTAGATGTTTATGGTGATACAAACTATCATAAATAAAAATGATAGATTTTAATATTGTAACTTTGACCTCATTTGTTGACACTGCAGGAGAATTAGATATTTGCTTTATTACATCTAACTTTCTATACTGAAATTGTGATATTAGTGGCCTTGTATTTAACTTTTTGGAACTTGGACATCCCAAAGAGAGGAAGTTGAACACATCATAATGGTTTGTCTATTATGTGTTGACGTAAAATTATACCTTGAATAAAAATCATTTATATGCCTGTATGTTTCAGTTCACTGATAATTTACTTTAAAACTAAATGGACTAAGTAAAAAAAAAAAAACAAGTAAATAAAAAAGCATTTGGCATTCCAGGACAAGTTTTGATCAAGACTTTAAAGAGTAGAAAGTCTGAGAACCATAATTATTTTCAGCAAGAAATGATAGAATCTCTCTCAGAAATTTCACATTAAATGTTGAGAAAAAAAAACTATAGCCTCTGTTTGCACCAAAAACGCATCATTAAAGCAAAGCAAAGCTCCCAGCTCTCCTTGGAACATCGAAAATACAGTTTTTCTAAATTATGTGAATATAAATGTAGCAGGTAATAAAATGCTTGAGAGACATTCATGGAGCACTGGTTTTTCAGGGAGCCCAAACATCTGGACCAGATACTGCAGGACATTCCCAGAGAAAGATAGCCATGTTCAACCCCAGCAGGCTCAACAAAGGTCCTCTGAATTGTCTCATTGCTGCAATGATGTAGTTGCATCTGTAACACAAACTCAAGTTATTATCTGCAGCATAACTCATACTGTTAAATAATAATTAGCCATTCTAACATTAATAATTTTTTTGTTTTCTTAATCATTATTTTTAGTTCCCCTTCTCTTCACAAGAGAATCTGACATGTTTAGTGCAGCCTGTTTGACGAGTCAGCGGAAGGAGAGTCAGGGCATAAAGGAGGAGACCTGGAGGAAGCCAGCAGCAGAAACGGTCAGTTACAAAGCAGGTCATCATTCTAGATAAAAAAAATAGAATAAATTGTTATCATTCAGCAATATTAAGTATTTTAAAATATATGTATAAAAAGCATAGATGAGGATCAGTCTTTCTAAGAGTAAAAATACCAACAAATTCAATACTAGGTTATTCAGAAAACCCAAAAGCACCATCTAAGGTTCTACAAGCCCCAGTTTATTTTTTTAATTGGTCCGACAGCCGAAGCTTGGCCCAAACTTGGTCACCAACAGAACTTAAACTGATTAAAATTATGTGGTGGACAGTTGGATAGTGGGGAAGAAATTAGCATCTAATATGCTTAATTAACAAATAAAAGATTGTCCTTTTCAAACATGTACTCTTCAGGAGACTTCTGCCTGGAAATACTACCTGCTCCAGATTAACTTTTTTTAATGCCTTTTCAAAAGAAGCCTGGGCCAACATCCCTCAACCAAAATGAGAAAGACTGATATATACCTTGGGAATGACTGCAAAATATGCCTGCAGCTTATTTCAAGTAACATTAAATAAAAAATACAAATTAACCAAATATGTTCTGTTTTAGAGAACAAACATTGCACCTTCTCATTAATCATCTTTCTGATTTTTCATCTTAACCTATAGAAGTGCATGTCCAGGGGAATGACATTAATTTGATGTTGAGCAGGAATGAAATGTGCACCGTTTCTACAGAATACGTATGGGAGCCTCAGAGGAGAACAGATATGATGTAGAAATATGTAACATGCTTTAAGAGATCAAGTAACAGTTGCTACATGCAGCTAGCCTAAACATGGCTCTGTAACTGTTCTTTTCACCATCTTTAATTATAGGAGTCAATTTAAATATATGCCCAAACCAGCTGTGATGCTCAGAGAAAGTGAAGTCCCCCGTCTGTTTTTTGGAGATCATGTTAAGTCAGGTGTTGAGTGAAGGAACTAAATGACCTCATAGACGTTCTGAAGCAGCCAGACAGACAGAACGAATGACCTGTGGAAGAAAACCTAGCTAATGATCCTCGGGTACCTCTTCTTTCTCACTTACTCCATCTTTATCTGTTGCACTTATCCTCTTCCTCTCTCACTTCATCATTTGTCTCTCACTCACTTTCTGCCCTTTTGCTGTTTTCCTCTTTTTTTCTCTCATTCTCTTTTGTCACCAACTCTGCTCTGTCATTTAGGATTTTATCAAATCCAGGTGCTGGCAGTCAACAGAGATGAAGTTGGGGGGAAAAAACAGGAAATCGAGTTTAATAAAGGAAACTCTGGGAGCATCAACCAGAGTTCAGTCTGAATATGGTTACTCTCTCAGTGTATTCTTCTTAATGTCATTTTCAAAAGCTTCATATTCGATGCACATTAATTTATGAGCCTGTGATGCATTTCTTCTGTGAATGAATCTAACCTCTGTCGTGTCTTTATATTTTTATTTTATTACCTTCCTTACTCAGGACAAGAGATCTTTTTCTGTCGGTTCTTTTCCAGTCGCCTCCTCTTCTAACACAAGCAGCAAAGGCTCATGGGAGAATAATCTGGAGTAAGTATGCTATTAAAGAGTTTATCGGTCTTCTGAGGGGTAAATGATCATTCCACAGAGGTCAAGCTGAATTATTTTCTCTGATCTTAGATCTGGAACTTCTTAAAGAAAATGTAATCAGATTCAAAATGCAGTTTTAACTGCAGCAACATTGTTTAGTGGCATGTTTTTCCACATTTGAAAATTATGTAAATTAAGATGCCATGTTCCAAACACATGCTCTGCTCTCAAAATATTGTTTAAGGACATCTAATAAAACTTATTTGCAATAAGAATGAGCAAATGTTTAGCTCTCTAGGTGTGCAAAGCACCTAAAGACATAAGCTAAAACACGTGCTCCAATTATGGTAAAGGGATTTTTCTTTTTTCACTCACTTGGGCTAAATACAAGTTAAATTACATTTTCATTTTAATTCTACTTCATATTTACGAACCCTTGTTTAGATTTTTTTAAATAACACCGCACTAAAAGGCATAAAGTGCTTAAAGTGATTGGAAAAATAGAAATATGGAGAAGTTTTAGAAAAAAATATCTAATTTACATGGGCTTTACAAATAAAAATGTAACCCTGTATATAAGTTTTATTCAAATTATCAAGGAGGGATTGGTTAATTCACTGTAAGTGACTCTAATTTCTCATCAAAGCAGATGTAGCAAAGCTGCAAGCCTGACTTCTGCTCCGGCCTCTGAATCAGACATGACTGAACTATCCTGCTCCCAAGAGAGGGAAACCCAGCAGTCATCCTTTAGAGCACAGATCTCTAAGATCGAACAATTTCTGAACAGCGAGAGGCTGCGTTTTCCCAAAAGACGTCGAACTGACAACTGATCAGAGCCGACGTTTCCTCCTCTGATACACGAGAAATCTTTTCAACAAGTTTGTTTGTTTATAGCAACATAGGCTTACATTTTTTCATAGATCCTCTTGTTATAAAATAACCTTTTAAATTTGCATCAGTTGACTAATTTTTGTCAAACCTTAAGATTAATTCTGCTGTTTTAGAAATATTTTCTGTTTGTGCAGAAATCTGTGTTGCTTGTTCATTATAAGATTTGTGCAGCTGTGTTAAGAGGAAATTAATATTAATTAACCTAGATGTAAAAACGTCTGTATGGATTTTGTTTTCTGTGATTTTAACATGAGGATTGGATTCAAAGTAAGCAGATTTTGAGACACTTTTCCCTGTTGTATTTAAGAAGATTGTTCATTGTAATTTGTTCTGAAGTTATGAGTTATGAATACCGTTGTCCAGTAAATCTGTTGGTCTGAATCCATTTGTTTTGTTTTATTTTACGAAGTAAGCCTGATATATTCCACAGCAACAGGCCAGCCACATTAATGGAGAACAAGGCTGCTGTTGAGTGTAGAAAAAAAGCAGATCTGAAATCAATTAACACTTTAATCAAGAAGGTAATTAACATTAACCTCAGTCTCAGTGGAGAGAAACCTTTGGTCTAGATCAGAGCAGTTTTTGTTGTTAGAAAAGAAATTAGATGTTGGAACACAACTGGTAACACCTATAAATGCTAATTACAAGACATAACCATCAAGGTAACAAGAAATACACTAAACCTAATTAACAGAAACAATTAGTGAACAACCAGAGCAATTAGCTCACTTTCATTAGCATCTCGTTAATTTTATGTTCCCACTGTGAAACATAAAGAGCAGAGAGCAGCTGAACAAAGACACCTGGCCTCTCTTTGGTCTGATTACTTCTTCGCCTTCTGGACGTTTTTATTGGGGTTTCCTTTGAGTCAGTCTGAAAAATAAAGACTTAATATTTCCTGTCAGTTTAAAAGCTGTTATTCAATCATATTTGACAGCAATGTCTGATCAATGTTTCAAAATGTTTTCCCAAACATATGATGAAATGAATAATGCATTAAAAATGAAAGAAATTCTTCAATCAAGTAAGTAAAGCTGGAAAAAATGATAGCAACACACCCACAGTTTTTGGAAAAGGTTTTATTTGTTTAGTACAAAAGCCTGAAACAATAATATAATGGTCTGAGGTCATTAACTTGCCTTTACAGAGGAATAAATGGCAAAATAAACAACATTTACAGACTTCACACTAAAAGCAGAGGTGAATAGTTCCTCTTTTTTATCTTTCAATTGAATATTAATGTATGAAATGCACCTAATTAGATAACGTTGGTAATAAACATCTAAGGCAAACTGATTTGTCATTGCCTTTAAATAAGTAAAAACGGCAAATAAAACATGAAAAGGACATTTCTTTATTATTGTGCATAGAGACTTTAAACTGTTATTTATTAACTTCTAGGCAAGGCTAAATTGACCTAAGCCTTTTTCTTTAAATAACTTAATCTATACTATGTGGATTCTCTTAATTTTTTACATTTTCATAAGTAAAGGTTAACCATCACTTAAATGGAAGAAATAGCAAATATAGATGGACAATAGCATAAAAAATGTGCATGCCAGTGCAGATCTGAGTCATCTTTAATTTTAGTCTCTGTTTAGGTAAACAAGTGGATAACTTGCAGCACTGCACCCGACCTACAGTAGAGGATGGGCCCCTAGCTGCTTAAAAACACCAGGTTGACCAAATCTCAGACTAAAGAGTTGAGAAATGTATTCTTGTAAAAAGTCAATAACAAAAAATTGATCCAGTCAAGCTGCCTTTCATTTAAACCTGTTGTTAAAAAGATAGAAGAAACGTTGCAATACTCTGATTGCTTAAATGTGCATCCTGCATTGACACATCTCTGAAGTATGTGCCTTGGAAAGGAACGACTGATAACATCTCTGCAGATTATGGCTTTACCTTAAGAATGTAACATGAGCTTTCCTTATGATTATTCAGATCCACTGTATTTGAGGGTAGGCTTGTACCCAAGTAGCTACCTCAACAAAGTTTTCTTTACAGGTTTCAAATACTTGTGTAAATGGATTATTTCTATTTTTCATTTTTTTCTTATCTTTTGACCTTAAACTGATTTGTTTGTCTCTCTGTTGAACTCTCATGATATTTCTTTGTGGCAGTTTTCTTTGCATCATGAACAGATTTCTCTAAAGCACCAGACAATAATAATATCAGACAATCAGTTTGCAAACCTGATTCTGTTGACCTGATAAAGAAAAGGCAAATTTTCTCTCTGAGGACTTATATACATATATTATATAAATATTCTTCTCACACTTCTAATTTTAAGACATACCGTTTTTAATGATGGCACATCTTACCACACTTACTTATTATGAATATACTTGAATGTTAATGAGCTCATAAAGAAACCTGGAGCATTTTGACAACTGAGCCCGTTGCTGCTGACCCTTATCCTCTCTGGGAGGAAGCGACGGAGGGTTGGGGGATGTGGGAGGTGTGGATTATAAAGGTCTTCATTTTAATACTCTCACAGCCGCCTTTCCCCTCAGTTTCGGTTTCTTGGCTCACTTTATTGCACAGGCGTACACACTCTTTGGTTATGAAGGCACTTTGAAACGGTCAATTACCTTCTGGATAGGGAGGATACCTGCTGTTAATTACTGCCCATGGTTTTATATGAAGAGTAAATAAAGAGACCGCTGACATTAACATTCCATCAATGCATCCCGTAGTACATGCTGTGCTGTAGAGTTTCATTTAAAGTGAAAATAAAACCCCCAGAGGTGAGAAAAACATTTTTACATTGATCTTGTTTTCATCCACTCCTTTAGCATGGATTAATTTTCTTTACTTCTTGAAAATGACCAAAATTATTTAACAAACACAGAAGAAAAAAATGGTCAAACTTAAGCCAGCATCAAAAATATGCCTGTGTACTATTTTCAGTCACCCAGTCAGCCAACAATATAGACTAAAATCAAAGGCAACTGGACTTTCTCTCAGTTTTTATGAAAACATTGTGACACCTATCCAGGAGTTAATGACCCACCCATTGTTCTCCTGGGTGGTTGGAGTTCTTTTGTATTGGTTTTATGTTTGACCATTTGAATTGTTAGACTGCGTGTGTATTTTCTTCAAAATGAGTTCCTTGACAGAGGTACACTATATTGCCAAAAGTATTTGCTCACCCATCCAAATTATTGGAATCAGGTGTTCCAATCACTTCCATGGCCACAGGTGTATAAATTCAAGCACCTAGGCATGCAGACTGTTTTTACAAACATTTGTGAAAGAATGGGTCGCTCTCAGGAGCTCAGTGAATTCCAGCGTGGAACTGTGATAGGATGCCACCTGTGCAACAAATCCAGTCGTGAAATTTCCTCGCTCCTAAATATTCCACAGTCAACTGTCAGCTGTATTATAAGAAAATGGAAGTGTTTGGGAACGACAGCAACTCAGCCACGAAGTGGTAGGCCACGTAAACTGACGGAGCGGGGTCAGCGGATGCTGACGCGCATAGTGCGAAGAGGTCGCCAACTTTCTGCAGAGCCAATCACTACAGACCTCCAAACTTCATGTGGCCTTCAGATTAGCTCAAGAACAGTGCGCAGAGAGCTTCATGGAATGGGTTTCCATGGTCGAGCAGCTGCATCCAAGCCATACATCACCAAGTGCAATGCAAAGCGTCGGATGCGGTGGTGTAAAGCACGCCGCCACTGGACTCTAGAGCAGTGGAGACGCGTTCTCTGGAGTGACGAATCGCGCTTCTCCATCTGGCAATCTGATGGACGGGTCTGGGTTTGGCGGTTGCCAGGAGAACGGTACTTGTCTGACTGCATTGTGCCAAGTGTAAAGTTTGGTGGAGGGGGGATTATGGTGTGGGGTTGTTTTTCAGGAGCTGGGCTTGGCCCCTTAGTTCCAGTGAAAGGAACTCTGAATGCTTCAGCATACCAAGACATTTTGGACAATTCCATGCTCCCAACTTTGTGGGAACAGTTTGGAGCTGGCCCCTTCCTCTTCCAACATGACTGTGCACCAGTGCACAAAGCAAGGTCCATAAAGACATGGATGACAGAGTCTGGTGTGGATGAACTTGACTGGCCTGCACAGAGTCCTGACCTCAACCCGATAGAACACCTTTGGGATGAATTAGAGCGGAGACTGAGAGCCAGGCCTTCTCGTCCAACATCAGTGTGCGACCTCACAAATGCGCTTCTGGAAGAATGGTCCAAAATTCCCATAAACACACTCCTAAACCTTGTGGACAGCCTTCCCAGAAGAGTTGAAGCTGTTCTAGCTGCAAAGGGTGGACCGACGTCATATTGAACCCTATGGATTAGGAACGGGATGTCACTTAAGCTCATATGTGAGTCAAGGCAGGTGAGCAAATACTTTTGGCAATATAGTGTATATAAGTCCACTCTGGGTCCCTGAGCAAGACCCCTAACCTCACACTGCTCCCTGGGTGCCCCACAATGGCAGCCCACTGCTCCCCAAGGGGATGGGTTAAATGCAGAGAAGTAATTTCCCTCAGGGATTATTAGAGTATATAAAATACCAAAAAAAAAAAAAAATTATAATACCCTCAGAAAGTTCTATTAACAAAAATGGCTTCCTTCACCCTTCTTTTAAACCATCGGTGCTCTCTGTCCAATATTAAACATAGCCTTGCCAGAACAAACAAAAAACAAAACAAAAAAACCACATGACTGTTTTACTCGTTTATTATTTTCTCAGGTTATCTTTGTTTCAGAGTATAATTTCATTTTTAATCGAAACATTTAATTATACAAAAAACAAAAAGAGAGACACATCTGTAGACCTTTTTACAGCACTTTGTAGGCTGCATTAAATCATTATTGCCTATATTAGAGATGTTAAGATGAATAAAAAAAATAATTAGCCTCTGGATGTTGACACAATGCTGCAGCACACTGGCAACCTGTCCAGGGTGTATCCCTCCTTCCACCCATAGACTGCTGGAGATACAGTAGGCACCAGTCTCAGCGTGACTAAGAAGAAGAAGATGGATGGATGTTGACTTAATGTATTTAAAATTTCATTTCATGAACTGTTTTATTCTTAGGCTGAGAATGTCAAAATGAACTCAATGAAAAAATGTCAAAATTTAAATAATAATAAAAAAAAACTGTTGGATTTACATTTGCATAAAATTGAGAGAAATCTGTAATTGGGTAAACATATATATAGAATCATTCATGAAAAACATCCAGAAACCTCATGTAAGCCCTCCTCCTGCCAGTCCATGGTCCTCCGTGTCTATGTTAGTAAGATACTGACTTTCAATTACTACACCAAAGAACCCCGCTTGAAACAGTCTAAGCTCTGTCACATCTTG